AAAAATGTGTGTTTATTCAGGTTATGGGTCATTTTCTCGTACAGTTAAGCATGAATTAATTAGGTGTTAGTGTCCAGACAGAGCTGTCTATTCATTCTTGAGAAAGGAAAGGAATATTTTTCTTTTTAAGAAGACTACTGTCAACATTCCTGTAAGATCAACCCCAGCGTGAGACTGGCCTGTAGTCTGATTGTTTCTGTCTGCTCTCATAGTTTCAGTATTGTTGACAATGGAACAAATCATCTGCTCACTCATTGACTTTTCCCAGTAATATTTTTTTGTGGAATTTCTGTGGATTTCATTTTATTTATTCTTGGATTTGTTTTGTGGTTGTATGTGTCATGATCTTCTGTCAAATGACCGAAAATGTTTCCCCAGAACCATTTTAACACTACAGAAACCATTGTAACAAGTACAGAAGGTTAGATTGTAAAGTATGAAAAATGTATATTTCTGCTATTCTATGAAAAGAATAGTTCAGTTACATATGATTTCTAGGCTGAGTAAAACAGTATTGTGTGTTTGTTCCCTACTGCATTGAAATTGACTTCCGGTTTGTAGTCAAGGGCAGGTAACTCTAACCTGTTTTCTCACAAGCTCAATGGCACCACCCAGTAGGCCAATCCAAAAGACCTGAAACAGTGTAGGAATGCACAAAGATGTATATGCACTTGTCTTTTGCTGAAACCAAATACCCAACTGCCTTTTCCGGATGCTTGGTTAAAACAGATTGCATGCACTCCTGCTTGTCGTAAAAGCTAATTACAGCAAATGGGGGTTTTATGTGTTAGCTAAAACATTTTATTTATCATGTGATTTTGCTGGATATGAATAGATCCAGAAGAAATTTAAAATTTTGCCTTTGATTATTAATTCAGAATTGCCCCACTGAAAAGTGATTTGGTTTGACCTGCCTTACAGGATTAGCCCAACTGAAGAGGTCGTTGTAGGCACAGTTACTACAGACATGTACCCCAGGTACATTTCTGTATCCCCGAAACAAAATCAAAATACAGAAACGTATCTGGTATCTACACGGCGGATGAGTCCATGTTCCCGGGTTCGAATCCCCACATGGGTACAATGTGTGAAGCCCATTTCTGGTGTCCCCGCCGTGATGTTGCTGGAATATTGCTAAAAGCGGCGTAAAACCAAACTCAGTCAGTCAGTCAGTCCATGTTCCGCAACCCCAAACCGAAACCGTATGTAGTTGCTCCCGTCCAACTGCTTGCGAGTGATCCTGTGCATCGTGAAATGACCCCTTAGTCCAGCTACATCACAGGAGAGGCTAAAATGGGCTGAATCAATTGCGCCCATGTGGAACTGAAGACTAACCCATGAGCCATTCCTTATACACGTTAGCCAAGTGGATGTGGGTTAGTTGTGCCGGATACCATATACCGGTCTTGTGCGGAACATATCCTGGGAGATAGTGGTCAGAATGAGAAATGTCTCTGGTGTCACCTGCTGGAAACCTGTCTTGGCCTCAGAGTCCAGTTTTAAATGTCTTCCAACAAGCCTGGTAATATAAAGCAATAAAGTTAACACCCACAGTATGAACCTAGTGTGATAAAGAGAATAGTGTACCAACAGCGTAAAGTTTATATATTAGAGGATTTTAAGACAAAGTAGGGACAATGGAGATGTTTAATTGAAGGTACTGCCGTATTGAGAATGGGAGTGCAACTAATACGTTATGCAAGATAAAACATATGCTTGTTATCAGTCAGTCCTAGGAATATGCTAAATGGGATTGTATGTCAGTGGTTCAACGTATGGTAGATTTAAATACACTATTTGGACATATTTTTTGTTGTGATTTGTTGATTGTGTGAATCAACTGCTTCGTTCATTGGATAGTGTCATGACTGGAGTAAATAATGTATTCAGAAACTTCTGTCTGTATATATAAATAAACAAATGGGGATTATTTGTAAATTGTTTTAAAAATATCTACATGAAATTGAAATAAAATTTAAATGCTTCAGTGTTTCTGTTTATATTTTAAAGAACTTTATCTGCGACCTAAGGCAAGAACTAAGTTACAACTGATTCTCAGCTTCCTTGTCCGAATCTAACACGAGCTGCAAGTGAGGCAGCTGGAAGGTGAACACCTACATTACTATTACATCCTACCGGGTACCATTTACTGCTCTGTGACCCGAGGCCCATTTCGAACAGAATAACTTTGGTAAGGAGCCAACATATGAAAATGTCAGAAATGTTTCTGTTAGAACTTTAAGGCTACACAAGGTGCCATATTCTTCACACCAGAGATACGTTTATCATGGGCCGCATCTAATACCATGTTAACGACATGACACAGACACAAAACACATCCCCGACAACTAATATGCCCTAACGTATATGCAATGTCAAATGAAACCTTCTTTTGGTGGAACCAAAACAACTACAGGCAGACATTCCGCCCAAGACATTCCAATGTCCAGTGCAGAGTAACTGTTGCAACTGGTATAGTTCCAAGACACACGGAACAAGGCCGGTTGTTGCTCTTGTGAATGTGTTCAAGGGTTATCTGACTGGATACAAAATATAAAACCATTCAAAACCAGTCTCACAAACTCTTCTAAGGACTTGAAATATTTGTTTTAGAAAATGTGTATCCGTCCAGATAACATTACGTCTTATGCAAAATGACTTATTCGTCACATCCTTACAAGTTAAATGTTAAAACGGTGAGAACCCGTTAATATTCGGGTTAGAATTGATCTTCAGTAACCAATGCTTGTCGTAAGAGGTGACTAATGGGATCGGGTGTTCAGGGTCGCTGACTTGGTTGACATCGTATCCCAGTTGCTTAGATTGATGCTCACGCTTTTGATCACTGGATTGTCTGGTCCAGACTCGATTATTTACAGACCGCCACCATATAGCTGCAATATTGCTGAGTGCGGCTTAAAACTAAACTCACTAAATCGCTGAATAGAGGTGAGCTTCTGTACCTTGAAAGAGGCCGTTGTTTCGCTGATGGCTTAACGGGGTGTATATGAATTTAAGACAAAAGAGAAGAATTTGAATTTTGAATATTTTATTACGAATGTTTAAATTCTACGTCCCAATATTGGTGTTGGGAATTCAAACCTAATATCCTCGCTACACCTATTGTCTGTATATGATTATCACAACACTGAACGCCAACAGGCTACTGTGTACACTAGAAACATCAGTGCAATACAGGTAGATGGTGAGGCTCACGACACTATGAGTACTTGCTGGTCGGAATTGTGGATCTGTCGGCGAAAAGCTCGTCCAATGCATGCGTATAATATACATATTGTTTCTTACAATGCACTTTTTTTAGGGTAATCAAATTTGGTGCTTTAAAGCATTTTATAAAATCTTGTTAATTAGATTTTTCATGGGAGGACATTTTTTAATTTTAATCATAGATTACCACCGACGAACAAATACTCATCATGTTGTGGCCTAAAATATTGATAATGAATATCTCGACAGTGTTATTTGGTAAATAATCAGAACCACCCTGAAAAACAACAACAATTCGTTCCATGTGAATGAGAGTTGTTTTACACCGCAAGTTATATTCCAACTGTAACAAAATGACCTGGCAATAGTTAAACCAGCTGTTGAGAACACGATCCAACTCGCGAGCTGCGGATACACCTCCAGACACGACATCGCGCGGAAATACAACATGGGTTCAGTCTACGAATACGGTGTTTTTGAAAACCTACTGGATGTTGGAACTATTTCTATCACGTGACACGACATTAATGTCTTTCTCAAAGTTACAAAAACTCTTCCCGACTTTATAATTTACACAGTGTAACATACATTTGTTCTCATGTGATAAAAGCACTGGAAGTGCTTGGTATACTTCGTGCTATTGTTTTCGCGCATACAATGAGGCGCTTCCGGCGAACTACCGCAAATACATGTATCACTACTCCACCAGAAACCCAGAAAACGGCGCTCAGTGACAGTTAACGGGGGTACCACTCCGAAACAACCTTCACGAACTTCCCCACATCTAGGAAGGAATTAAAAGAGTATGTATCGTTAATTCAAAATACAGAAACAACTGGTCAAAATATCGAATAATATTCTCCAGACGTACCAGTGTTTCTTACCAAATATGATTGATTTTATTTCACAACCATACAACACCACCCAGTCTAGGTTGATGTGTCGTTTTTGTGCGAAGAGCATATTATCTGAAAACACCAAGACACAATTAAATTAAATTGAATTGAATCAAGCGTAGTATGGTCAGTTGTAATTAGAGCTTCTCATTTAGTTGAAAATGCACACCACTTTGTTATACATCACTTCTATTAACAGGTATAATTGAAATATGGCATGTGTTGCAAGAAGTGAGTGAGCATAGTTTTACACCACTTTTAGCAATATACGAATACACTAGAAATGGGCCTAACGTGGTGCAATCGAACCGAGCCCTTTGGCGTGTGGCAAGCGAACTCTTTAACCTCTAGGCTACCCCATCGCCAATTTTAGTAAGAAATGTGCTACACATGTCACAATACTGCTGGCATCTTTGTACGTCTTTCTGTTCCTTATACATCTACTGTGAGTGAGTGAGTGAATTTCGTTTTAAGCCGCTTTTAGCAATATTCCAGTAATACCCTTGCGGGGGACACCAGAAATGGGCTTCACACATTGTACCCATGTGGGGAATCGAACCCGGGTTTTCGGCCTGACGAGCGAACGCTTTAACCACTAGGTTACCTCACCGCCCCACATCTACTGTGAACATTACAAGCGAAGATTTTAGGATGTATTTCTATCATTATTTTCTATGATAAATATGTTATTATTTTGATGACTATTATCTTTCACAGGTTATACACATGCAGCGGAGAGAGGATGGGTGGTACTGGCATATTAATATTTTCATTATTATTATATTATACATTTTTGTCCGATCCTCCAAAAGGATTCATGAAAAGTGAATAGAGATTTCCATAACAACTTTCACACTATCGACAACCTTAAAACCAGAAAGGACACTAGTAATTAGGAATATATACATCACCACTTTACATAGAGTACAAATAAATCACATGACTACGTGCATGACGTAACCGCCGTAGTGGAAGCAGCACGCATACGGGTAGGAGTCTGAAGTACCGTACTAATCAGAAACTAATATCCACTAATTGGCATCTGCTATCATATACGTAATTCGCTCGTATGTGAAAATACCCTGACGACAATCAATACATACATGGGCTTTCAACATGTTATATAAAAAAGTTGATTAAATTTCAAATTTAGAAATCCTCTACGATCACACTACACAGGGCACTTGGCGTCATCACAACCATATATCCAAAAGCCGTCTATTGGCTAACTGTCACAATATGATGATAACAATCAATATCACACTGACAATAGTGAAAAACGAGTTGTCATAGAAACATGGAATATTTCGTAGTTGACAAGAATACAACCACGAGGCAACAAGGTATAAAAGTACACAACGGAATTGTAAAAAAATCTTCGAAATGTAAACAAACCGCCAAGAAGTGTTAAACATGAACCTAACTGCTATACAATGATGCATATCAGCTCTCCGACATGGCATCCTTGTTGGATGTCGCATCGTGTATTGCTATGACAATAGAAGGAATAATTTATTAAGACGGAATATGTAAATGCAGATTCGTCTGTCCTACCTTCTCAAACACAACAACCCATAGTCACTTGAACTAAAACTAAAATGTGAGTTTCTACATTTAATTGAAAGACGATATTTTCAACTTTGGTGTCAACAGCTGTGCACTACCAAGAAAACAGATAAGGTTACCGTAATATATATAATATACGCTACAAGCAGTTCGTCCGTTGTCAGCAAAATCACAGTAGTTACACTGATGAGGTTCTACGTTAATCTAGAGGTCGACCAATCACAGGCTTCGTTGCTTGCGTTCCATGTGACCTTGAGATCATGACCTTGACAAGACGCCGTCATGTTTCCGTTGTGTCGGTGTGGACAGAAATAGGACTTTCTCCCGCTACATAAAGCATTTAAATTCACCAAAAAGAAAGAAATTACTAGGTTTTGTCCATTTCCACAGATACACGAATCCCGACGCTCGAAGAAAACTGGACGACTTGGCATGACACTGCATCTCTTGACCTCTGTCTTCGTTTTTCATGCATATCCACAATCCAAGAACCTTTGGACACAAAACGTGAGTCTTTTCGTACATCCAAATGTCGGTGCTGGAACCCATCAATTTCAGAATTTCAAAAACTAGTCGAGAAAAAAAGTGACTTGAGCACTGAACATGCCTGACCATACTCTCTGACACATGATTGGTGGATACAGACACGTGACCTGTGACGTAATGTCATCGTCATCAATGCAGTGTTCACTATACTAGCCATTCATCAAAGACGAGCGACGCCGTCGGTTGTGCCCAGCGGGATGGAGGAGTACGGGGGGAGGGGCGTCGGGGCGTGTCGAGGTAATGCCGGGGCGAAACAGCTGCTTCAGTCGCTGAAACATTTAGGGTGTAACTGTTACACGGCATTCACCAATAAGCATTCAACTATGTTTATATCCGTTACTGAGTTATATTTTTTTTATATTCAAGTGGAGACAACAATGCAGAGTTACGCCCCGTGGGCGCGGCTGAGACTTAGAGCGTTGGTTCGAATTCTGGTTTCCTCCATAATTTTTACTTAATTTGTCACCGTAATGAGAGACATTCAGCGTTAAAGTCCTCTGATCCAGAAATATAAATATGTTTCGTGATTTTACGGTCAATAATATCCTTATATTTCACTATAAGTAAGCCTGGTAGAATTTCGTTAATACTGTGTTCACTTAATCCAAACGTATTCTGTTCTGTAAATACGACCGCACTAAGGTTTTAGTTAAAGATGAATATTCTGATTTCAACAAATGTGCCCTAAACTAGCACTGCCAGTTATCATTAAATCGTTTTATTTGGCTTGGACATTTGTTTCATTATCCATAAAGATTTTCACATCTGTCTCCTGAATATTATCAGCCCCACTAACCGCCAAATGGTCGTACGTCGAAGTGGCGAAAGGTATGTCTTTATGATTTAGAATGCTGTATGCCCTTACTCAGATGATAAGGTTTCCCAACCTTTTCCAGAACCTCAGTGTACATTTCTAATTTACAACAGACCATAAATTAGAAAGGTTTCTAGTCAACAGATCACACAGTTTTAAGTTTAAAGATTTTCACGTTTTGGTCTGTGGTAGTGTTACGTCACCTGTTGATGTGAGGGGAGAACCTCAACGTGATGAACGTCTTAGATGTGTACCACTTTCATAAAATAATAAAACACACGGTATACTTCTGACAATCCAAGAACCATAATCATTATGAACCCACGATCAGCAGATCCTGTCGCGACCAAGGGACGCAGTCCCATTCTTAAGACAACCTGAATACCCCTTACTAAATTACGGATGAGTATATCTATACACTAAAACAAATTGTTAAGGATCACGAATATTATGGATATTGTTTAAGAAAACGTTCGCTCAGTTTTCAATACAAAAACATATCCCAACAAATATTCATGAAATTGTTCGCTCAGATTTCAATACAAAAACATATCCCAACAAATATACATGAAATTGTTCGCTCAGATTTCAATACAAAAACATATCCCAACAAATATACATGAAATTGTTCGCTCAGATTTCAATACAAAAACATATCCCAACAAATATTCATGAAATTGTTCGCTCAGATTTCAATACAAAAACATATCCAAACAAATATTCATGAAATTGTTCGCTCAGATTTCAATACAAAAACATATCCCAACAAATATTCATGAAATTGTTCACTCACATTTCAATACAAAAACATATCCCAACAAATATTCATGAAATTGTTTGCTCAGTTTTCAATACAAAAACATATCCCACAAATATTCATGAAATTGGTCGCTCAGTTTTCAATACAAAATCATATCCCACAAATATTCATGAAATTGTTCGCTCAGTTTTCAATACAAAAACACATCCCAACAAATATTCATGAAATTGTTCGCTCAGATCTCAATACAAAAACATATCCCCACAAATATTCATGACCCCTTTTAGTGTTGTGTATAGATGGTATTCTGACCTGCCGTAAGGGCCCGGGGGTGACGATGATCTTGAACACAGCATACACAGGGATGATCCCTATAGACGACAACGCCAACAGGGCCCCGACTGCGTGAGCCCACGTGGGGAATTCGTATTCAATGTACTTCACTGGTTTAAAGGATGACATGGTGAATATTGTCACGCCCTGAAAAAGAAAGATGTTTTAGGTTATATAAAGACAATTGACGAGGCGTAGGGGTATTGTTGTCATATTTATATTTTGTAAACCATTCGGTGCCATTCTCGCTTTGTAACGCGAGAGATGACAAGTGCATGGTCTTGTTCCACAAAGCACTTTTAGCATTACTACTATCGTAGGCTAATGTTGAATTATGAGCATTACGATCACCTCAGCGCTGAGACTGTTTTGTGGAACGGAGTCATGGCCTATTTGCACAAAGCGCTGAGATGATCGTAGGACAATGTTAAAGTATTGGGAGTTACGACCACCTTAACGCTACGATCGCTTAGTGGAACGGGGCCCAGGACCCCAAGGACCCGTTGCACAAAAACGATCTTAGGGGTTTGGTGATCGTAAGTCTCTGTTAAAGGATGGGAGCTACGATCACACAGCGCCACAAGCTAGCATAACGCTGAGGTGAACTTCCATACACGAACGTCGACTTACGACTGTAGTTGCGCTACGATTGCAGGAAGTTAGCAGGATCGTGTCACATGAAAAAAGGCTGAAAAAGATACATTAACGTGCATCTGTACAGGAGAATAAATTACTAGGGGTGACTGGGGTGGGGTGGGGCTGGGGCTATTGCCATAGCTATAATCCATTGCAACATACTATTGCGACCAACTATTGGAATACTATTGCAACTGTTTTTTTCTCCTTGAACTGTCTCATTTGAAGTCATTTCCCAAATGAATGTATATATATAGTTTATATGCATTATAAACAATCTGAAATAGTTTCAGTCTCACCTAATAACTGACGAGAAACTTGAAACCCAGATCCAGTTTGTTAAAGAGGTAACAGGGACAGATAACTCTAAATCAAAGTGAACGTATCTGGTACTTCCTGTATTTTGCGCTGCGCATTTATCAACGTCAATTACGTAGTGAACGTATCTGGTACTTCCTGTATTTTGCGCTGCGCATTTATCAAAGTCAATTTATGCTATCGATTCGTCGATAGTTTTTTCGTTTGTACCATCGATTAATTGCTATCGGAGTCTCAACAATTGCAATCCATCGATAGCTCGATGTATCGTTACAGCCGTAAAAATTACCAATGGGATGCTAGAGAAGTGTGGGTGGTTCGACACACGAATGGGAGGATGGAGATGGAGAGAGTTGGCAAATATATCGGGAGGAAAGGGACGACATACCTTTTTGGTGTTTGTGTGTGCAGTGTGTCTGCGTGCGTGTGTTTTGAGTGAGGGGGATAGTTAAGGGGGGTTCATCAGTATTCAGTATGGCGGAACTCACGAATATAACGGCGAGGTTGGGAGAGAGGGTGCACTAACCAACGTAATGACAGGTTTGGGGCGACTCACCAACGTAATGGCGGGAGTGGTTACACACCAGGCCACCTTCCAAAACACGCTGGGGTAATATCCCAGCATCTCTCTCAGATTCTCGTAGAAGTTGTTTATACCTGGAAGACAACCATTGATAAACGCAGTCAGCATCAAATCCCGATAAATTATCCGGCACAAAAATATGATCTCTAGTTGCCCACTCTTTCAATGAATGTCTATTAGGCCGCTTTAACGATATGGAATCTCGGCGATAGTTTTAACCACTGGGCTACCCCATTGTTTATGTGACTTGCGGACAACCTGAAGACAGAACACCATACCGTAGGCCCACGACACCGCTATGCACTCGAAGAATATCAGGATGAGCAGTCCCATCCCGCTGGCAGCGTAGGTGTCGAAGATGGTAAACACGTACATGCCTCCCTGAAACAGACATACAGTGGAACCTGGTGACGTTAACATATACTGAAGACCAATAGAAACTAAACCCACGTACATCCCTCCCTGAAAACACAGAGGAACCTGGTGACGTAACATATCCCTGAAGACCCTAAACCCACGTACATATAGAAGAACGAACATGGTGTCCCCAGATCTTCACGAGAGTGAGTGAGTATAGTTTTACGCCGTTTTTAGCAATATTCCAGCAATATCAAGGCGGGGAACACCTTCAGACATTGTACCCGGGCCTTCGCTGTGACGAGCGAACTCTTTAACCACAGGGCCCCGATCTTCACAAGAGGTATCGCATCCTGCACCATACTGTTTATGAGATCCGTCGACCTTCCATGAGCCTGGACCAGACAAACCAGTGTTCGAGCCCCAACGATCTACTTTGGTTCATTGACACGCGACAAGCGGGTGCTACCGAGAGTTGTCTCCCCTCGTGGCTATCGTTAGTCAACACAATACACATTCTAACTGCACGGTGCAAGAAACATGTCAGCGAATAAAGGCATGCAATCATGAAAATATTACGAACCTCCGTCACCATAGAAAGTCCAATTAAATACGACACAAAGCACACGAATCCTATAAATAGTTCTCGGTGTTTACGGAGCTTGTGCGGGAACTCGTCAATCAGAGCCGTAAAGAACCCTTCCATGGTACAGAACTGAAATATAGAAACATTACCCAGAGTTTATAAAGGATTGTGACACAACAGATTTATTGATACCACAGTTGTCTTTCCAGTTATTTGCAAAAACAGGAACCACTCGTCATGAGCCGGTTCAAAAGATGGAATATACGTTATACAAACGGAAGGAGATTTAGGAGATAAACCTTGTGTGATTGAAAATCAGAGACATGCTTTACTGAATTGATGGCGACTAAATTTCAATTGGAACCGGACGCGTAATATCTGGTATTTTGTCTTCATTCTTAGCTTCCTTACATAACTGAACGGTATACAACCTCGAGAGTTGTTTTGGGCGATACATATTATTATACTAAATTGGTCTGTTGATGTAAATTTTAAGTCATAAACAAGCATCACTATTTGTTTTCAGTCGAAACCGAAGACCAATGAATGCTTAGTGCCCTCCAGCCTACAATGATGTAGCCGAGCTTAATGAATCAGTGTGTTCTCTAATGTCATTCTCCACTCCCCGGGGAGTATACATCGTTTGACATTGTCAACTTACCTGACTGTCCATGCCCAGCATGATCAACATAGAGAAGAACAGGATGGACCAGAGAGGTGAGATTGGGAGCTGTGTCACCGCCGACGGGTATGCAAGGAACGCCAGGCCAGGACCTAGGCAAGTATCATCGGCATTAACAGTAGTAGAAGTAGCAGCAGCAGTAGTAGTAGTAGTAGTAGTAGTAGTAGTAGTAGCAACAGTAGTAGTAGCAGTAGCAGCAGCAGTAGCAGTTGTAGTAGTCGTAGTAGCAGTGGTAGTAGTAGTTGTAGTAGCAGAATAGTAGTAGTAGTTGTAGTAGCGGTAGAAGTAGTAGTTGTAGTAGCAGTATAGTAGTAGTAGTTGATGTAGTAGTAGTAGTAACAGTATAGAAGTAGTAGTAGTAGTAGTAGTAGTAGTAGTAGTAGCAGTAGAAGTAGTAATAGTAGTAGTAGTAGTCCGACGCTATTTCCTAATTTGCGCGTTTTTAGGTAACAATTAACTTGCCTTTGCATGTGTTTTGACCTGTGCCAACTGGAATCATCACGATTTGATAGTGGTTCATATACATATGCTACGATATGGTCGGAACTTTACTATGGGCCTCTCGTTACAGGAGCTTCTTCTTATGATAATGCAGATTGTTGTTTTGATTTTGATTTTAGTTATGTTCATTATCATTTGGGGATCATCATCATTATCATTAATTGTGACGGCACAAGCACGTATTTTACCCCCAGCGGCCACTTTGCTGACGTGTTTCTTCTGCTCGTGCGCCATGAAGCCGACGACAGAGAAGATGACGAAGCCGGCGAAGACGCTGGTGGAACTGTTGAGGCAGGAGATGAGGACGGCGTCCCTGAGAAGGAAGTAGATACAGTGCGTGAATGTGGTTTTACTGTTAATCTGCGCAACCCATAACGCACATTAAATTCAAATGCGTTGTACGTGTACTAATGTGTAGGTTGTACTGAAACATTCTTGAATTACTGCGTTCTTCGGAGGGCATTTAGGAGTGATTAACATTCTAGTACATCCATGTGCAGGTTGTTCTCACTTGTACACTCTGTACATGAACACGTTGTTGTATTTACTTCAACACGTTATTGTGCTTATATTACGTGTATGTGTTGAACTCACTTGTACACTGTTGTATTTACTTGTACACAATGTTGAACTTATTTGTACACCAAGTTCTACTTACTTGTACACTAAGTTGTACTTACTTGTGCACTAAGTTGTACTTAATGTACAGTAAAGTATATTTACTTGTACCTTTTTTGTACCTACTTGTACACTATGCTGTGTTTATTTGAACACGTTGTTGTGTTGACTTGTAAACATTGTTGTACTTACTTGTACACTATGTTGTACTTACTTGTACACTATGCTGTGTTTACTTGAACACGCTGTTGTGTTGACTTGTACACATTTTTGTACTTACTTGTACACGTTGTTGTGGAATTTGTTGTAGCTCCCAAGGGCTATCATGGTGCCAAGTCCCAGACCGTAGGAGAAGAGGATCTGGGATGCCGCATCTATCCACACCTGCAACAACGAGTACAGTAGTGATGCCTCGCTGACGTCTCCTGCTGCTACTGATGCCGTTGCTACTACTCCAAATCAAACTTACGCTGAGGTAGACTGACGTTTAGTCCCTGAATATATATAATTTTGATAGTAACAAATAACCCCTTAGAAATTGAAAATGAACTCCAGTGAGTTGGGAGATTCAGGGGAAATTTCGACTTGCTTTAACTAGGGCTTTAGCATCGCAGGGAGGGTGGTTCAGGGACTGTGAGGCAGACTAAAGCTGAAGTTGCACTCGCTTCAACGTCTGAACAGTAAACTACGGTTGCAACAATCTCAAAGGCAACTTATTTTAGTTATAGCCGAAGTTAGTTGTACACATTAGACTAAAACATTAAGAAGGTGGATAGGATAAGTTAAAAAGGAGTTCGTTAAATCAATCAGTTCGTTATAAGACTGACTGACTGAGTTTGTTTTACGCCGCTTTTAGCAATATTCCAGCAACAACACGGCGGGGGACACCAGAAATGGGCTTCACACATTGTACCTATGTGGGGATTCGAACCCGGGTCTTCGGCATGGCGAGCCAACGCTTTAACCACTAGGCTACCCCACCGCCCCTCGTTATAAGAGTATTCGTTATACCTAGCGTACTGTATCCTATTGCTGGTACCTCAGGGTGACCTTGTACAAAGCGATCTTAGCGCTAAGGTGACTGTAACTCCCATTTCTTAACATAGGCTTAAGGCAGTGTATAAAATAAGGCCCGTCCGACCGACCGAGACGGGCTAGATTTCTGAGGGACGGTCAAAATCTACAGCAAGAAAGCGCGATGGTCTGGTAAAAAAATTAGATGTCCTATTAAATTCACCATATCTTGGTGCCTGGTCTGATTAAAGTCCATTTGGGCTGGTAACATTTTGAAGTTACCTGCCCTGTTGTCTGGCTGGGTTTCTGACGTATTTCATACACGGCTTAAAGTAGGGTTAGCGCTAAGGAACAACCCTGGTTCTGTTGCTACCATCAACCGTTGTAGCCAGTACAGTGATACTACGTTAGAACTATCCCATCAACTAGAGATGGTGTGGAAATCAACTGTATAGGTTCAAGGTAGAGAAAGTGGTGCAGACAAACCAGTGGTCATTATCCGGAGATTCGAACCAAGATTTCACGTATCATGACATTGGGCTCCGGTACTTTCTCATTGATATTAAGTGTTTTTCTCAGCTTGTTCAGCTTTTACACCTGCTGCAGCCCCTGCTACTGCTGCTGATTGTGCTTGTTTTTGTTTGTTGTTTAACGCTGCACTCAACAATATTTTCTAGCTATATTGCGGCGGTCTGCAAAAAACAGAATCTGGACCAGACAATCTAGTGATGAACAGCATGAGCATCTACGCAAATGGGATACGATGACATGTGTTAACCAAGTCTGCGAGCCTGGCCACCAGATCACGTTAGTCGCCTCTTACGATGATGATGATGATGATGATGATGATGATGATTGTCTTGCTGCTGCCACAAGGTGACCTACCTGCGACTCCTTAAGTCTGGCCATGTCTGGGAAGATGTAGAACCTGATACCGTCCATGGCGCCGGGCAGAGTGAGTCCCCGGATGAGGAGACTAAACAGGACGACGTACGGAAACAACGCTGTGAAGTACACCACCTGAAACAGCAGAGTGACTGACATCATGAACATCGATCTACGCAACTGGGATACGATGATATGCATCAACTAAGAACCTTACCACTTGATCCTGTTAGTCGACAAGCATTGGTTGCTGAAGACCGATTCTAGTGAGTCAGTTACGTTTTAGGTCGCTTTTAGCAATATTCCAGCAATTTGGGGGACACCAGAAATGGGCTTCACACAACGTACCCAAATGAGGAATCAAACCCGTGTCATTGGCGTGACGAGCGGACGCTTTATCTGCTAGGCTACCACACTGCCCCGAAGACTGATTCTAAATCTTCACAGGTCAGGATGGGAATTATCAAACCAAACTAAGGATATATGGAACGGATATATTGACCCTTAGCACTCGTTTGGACGTTGACTCCACGTTATGTTTACAGCAAACAACGAAAATGGCTCATCGCTTGCCGTTTCCAAGGTATTAGCATCTGTACGGTGCAGCTGCGCTGGGTGAGAAATATGTCAACGATTTAAGTATCAATAATGATAGTAAATCGTAATTCTATTGCCTGATTCAGAATGCAATGTTTGCAACTCGTGGTTTATTGTGATTACCATCAGTGTGTACCCTAGGACCAAGGCACACACACGCGTATTGTAATTAACTTTAATGATCTCCTCAAAGAACTAGCCAATGAAAAAACTGCGGAAATTAACTCCGTTGGAGCAATCAAATGTGTCCGCAGTGAAGATGTCGAACATATCTCATTGGCTGAAAGTACTATTGAAGTCCCGCAGCGAATGTTCATTGTGAATGTTATTGGCTTACCTTGCCTGTCCACTTGACCCCTTTCCATATACAGAAGTAGCAGAGGATCCACATCGTCAACAGAGTGAGGGCCAGTTGCCATCTCAGTCGACCGGGAGACGATATGCCATCTGTAATCTGCAGAGCGTACCGACTGGAACAGTATGACGAATAATATGACGTAGAATCGGAAGAAGAATATTAGTGATGAATACCTGTTGAATCACTGATCTAACTTTAGTTCATCAATATATGATCGCAGATGTATTGCGAGTTCATCAATATGTAATTGCATGTCATTGATTAGATCCGCCTATATGGTATCAATACATCTCGCATGATTAGACCCGCCGGTAGGTATCAATGCCATCTCGTTCGATTAGACCCGCCTGTAGGTATCAATACCAGCTTGGACGATTAGAGTGAGTGTGAGTGAGTTTAGTTTTACGCTGCACTCAGCAATATTTCAGCTGTATGGCGGCGGTCTATAAATAATCGAGTCTGGACCAGACAACCCAGTGATCAACAGCCTGAGCATCGATCTACGCAGTTGGGATACGATGACATGTGTCAGCCAAGTCAACGAGACTGACCACCGATCCCGTTAGTCGCCTCTTACGACAAGCATAGGTTACTGAAGATCAATTCCAGCCCGTCGCTCGATTAGACCCGCCTGTAGATATTATAATACTTTCTCACAGAACTAGCTTCAATACCATCTCGCACGATAAGTAGTAGTAGTATGTATCAATACTATCTCGCATGATTAGTACCCGCATGTAGGTATCAATACCAGCTTTCACGATTAGACCCACCCCGTACAGCCTCAATACCACGACCTCGGTATAATAAGTTGGCCATCTATATACTCACAACCAGAATTCTTCGACCGGTGAGTTAAAGCGATCCGCGTCGTACGTCTGCGTGCAGTTGTAGTCGGAGTACATGTTGAGAACGGTGGAGGAGTTGAGAGTTGACGTGATGTTGACCTCAAACCAGGTTGTCTCGTTTGTGCAGTTGAAGGGGAGTTTGTGGAAGTCGTACTCCGACAGACACTGCTGGGTGTTCCACCAGTTTCCACAGTGCGACCAGTACAACTGGGACGTGAAGGAACAACACAGGTAGAACAGACCCCACGCAAGGATGACGATGTAGTAGGCGTTGAGCCACGCCGCCATCACGGCCGCAGCGTATCCCACACCTGCAAAGGGCAGCAATCTGTAACTTGGTCGTGGGTTGGTCACTGCATGGATGACTAGATGGAAGTTGGGTGTACGGTGCAAATAGGTGAGAAACAAAGTGTTTGGATAAAGAATCACCCATTGCCTGAGTGAGTGAGTTACACAGTGAGTGGGTGGATGAATGTGTGGCCTGAATTGGGATGCGTGGGTGAATGAGTGCGTGAACCAAAGACTCAGTGTATAAGTGAGTGACAGTGACTGGATGAGTGGGTGACCCAGTGACTGGATGAGTGAGTGACCCAGTAATTGGACGAGTGTTAGGGTGAGTGAGTGGATAAAGTAAGCGTATAACTGATAAGGAACTGAAATTATCCCAACCCCGTCACGACAGTCACAACTTAACCCATACAGTTATGTCCTTCATTATAGTTAGGCCAAGTCCACTGATACTGTCACAGGTTCATCCACTTACACACTCGCGACAAGGTCATTGTCAGTATCTTACCTTTGAATATTGGACTGATCTTCCAGATGCCCAGTCCCCCGACACTGAAGTACTGGCCCAGGGCCAGTTCCATGAAGTACATAGGGATACCAGCTAAGAACGCCGTCAGGAAGAAAGGAATGAAGAAGGCCCCCTGAAACACAGTACCAAGATCATGTCAAAGGTCAGACCAAAGGGCATAAGTGACATCAAGACCATGTCAAAGGTCGATCAAATGGGAGGCACGACTGTCAAGGTCATGTATAAGGTCAGATTAGACAGCAGACACGGCACCAAGGTCATGGCATTAATGTCATGAGAAATAGACATGAAATAAAACTGCAGGCACGGCCTCACGAAATCAACATGTTTTCCATCTGATTCTCAGGATACCTCTTGCATACAATGTACTTACCATGCCCAGTGAACGCAAAGCTCTGTTTTAATATACTTATTTAAAACTATCAGTATTTTTGTGATATCCTAACGAATCTGTGTTCATAAGATAAGATACACGGTAAACTACTGAGATATTATCTCTTTGTATGAATAAAAGCGGACGAAGTTGCAGATTTGCCTCTGTCTCGTGGGCACAATAGATAATGGGCACCCGTCCTAAAAGCCAATTCATGCGAGGGTTGTCCCAAACGTTTCCGGACTCATCATGAACGGATCGCACAAACTCAACAAATATCTCGCCATGTTTCTAGAACAGTATCTTAGCATGTGCTTGATATGCAAAACATGAATTCCACGTGCTATAATTTGCTATATTTAGCTGTCAAACAGCATGACCCTGTCATTTGCTCTCAAAATGGAGAGAACCTAAAAAAAGTTTGCGCCAAAGCAAATTCATGATGACATGACACAAACATTAGGTGACAATGCTCCTTCATATAGCGTGGTCAAACAGTAGTGTGCCGAATTTACAAGGGGCAGGCGCAGCACCGAAGACGAACCACGGTCTGGTCACCCTCGTGAAGTGACTACCAAAGATAAAATTGATGCTGTTCTCGACACAATAATGCAGGATGGGCGTGTAACTGTTAGACAATTAGCTATCGCACATGGCATTAGCAAAACATCAGTGGAACGAATAATCCATGAACATTTGGCATATAAACAAGGTGTGTGCCCGTTGGGTGCCCAGAATGTTATCTGAAGAACACAAACGCCGGAGAGTCATGATTTGTCGTCAGCTTCTTGGGGACAATCGGAGAGATCCACGTGCTTTCAAGGGTCATATTGTTACTCGGGGTGAAACCTGGGTTCATCACTTTGACCCAGTGACAAAATGTCAAAGTATACAGTGGAATCACGTCTCGTCACCAACGTTTAAAACGTTTAAAAGAACGTCTTTAAGTGGCAAAGCCATTGCTTCCGTTTTCTGGGACTCTGCAAGCGTAATCATGATAGATTATTTAAAGAAGGGGTCCACAATAAATGGTGCATATTACGCTGATGACACCCCTCCTCGTACACGGCTTAGACTGACTGACTGAGTTTAGTTTTTACGCCGCTTTTAGCAATATTCCAGCAATATCACGGCGGGGACACCAGAAATGGGCTTAATACATTGTGCCCATGTGGGGAATCGAACCCGGGTCTTCGGCGTGACGAGCCAACGCTTTGACCACTAGGCTACCCCACCGCCCCCACGGCTTAGAAGTATGTGTATCAAAACTAAAGGTATTCGGTAAATAATCGTTCAAACTGAGATTAAATATTCCTTCATACAAAATAGTTGAATCAGTTTGCGAGAAGTGCTGCCGCAAGGTTTTCTTCTATTTGATGTGACTTCTATTTGATGTGACTTCTATTTGATTTGATGTGACTTCTATTTGATGTGACTTCTACACAGGTTCAGATTGGGTTTGGTTGTTGTTTTTAACGCCGCACTCAGCAATATTCCATCAAATGGCGGTGGTCTGTAAATAATCTGGACCAGACAAACCAGTGATCAACAACATTAACGATCTACGCAACTGGGATACCAGGATATGTATCAACCAAGTGAGTGAGTCTGACCACCCGATCCCGTTGGTCGCCTTCTACGACAAGCATGGGTTGCTGAATTCTAAACCGGATCTTCACGGGTCTCAGGTTAAGAGAACAACGTGCGGATTTAAAGTTAAGAATTTCACTAACATGAAAAGGACTGGATATCAAAGAGAGATTATTCACGTACTACAGTTATAAAGCTATAATACCGTGTATTCCAATTAAAAATGCAAAGATTTTGACCCCTACGTTAGATCCCATTTCAGCCCACCTCCAACTGTGATGGGGCGGTGGGGTATCCTAGTGGTTAAAGTGTTCGCTCGTCACGCCGAAGACCCGGGTTCGATTCCCCATATGGGTACTATGTGTGAATCCCATTTCTGGTGTCCCCCGCCGTGATATTGCTGGAATATTGCTACAAGCGGCGTAAAACAACACTCACTCACTCACTCTAACTGTGATACGCTGACTGAGTCGTAAAACAACACTCACGCTTTCACTCGGTCAGTCACCCGCCCTTTCATTGGGTTAGCAATAGAGTGTCGCGAATGATTATTTTGGTTTACATTTGCACTACATACCAAATTAACTACATGGATTAATTAGGGATTAGAGGCACCCCCATGGCATGTAATGAGCACAGCCCATCAGCTCTCCCAGAAGAACTACATGCTTAAAATCCTATTGACCAGTAATCTAATAACCAGAAGGTAAAGGACAAGAGAGAAGGGTATGCTATAGTTAGTGAATGTTCTTGTATTCAAATGATAGAAAAAAACAAGCGAAGCTTAGTATATTGGAGTAAAGGTAAAGATATATTGGAGTAAAGGTGAAACATAAACGAATGAGTTTTTAAGTTAAAATAATATTGTTATAGACTGCGCCCCAGTATACCTCGATGCAGTTTGCTACTTATTGAAGCTGGCCTAAACTAGTTCTACATGGATCAGATTGAACACTCAGGATGAAAGTGACACTAAATTATCACATTAAATATATAAACCTATCTATAAATGAATTATCTATACATCTATATATAAAACTTCAGACTTTATCTGCACAAGATCTTTCGCCGTTCAACGGCTCTTTGTGTGTACAATGAAACTAAGTGTCGTCATAGGCGACCTATAACGGTAGTAGCTATGTTGTCATCATGCGTTACAGTTAGTGACAATAGGTAAGATGTGATAGATATATAAGACATATCTTTTTAGGTAGTAGAAAATGCTGTTCATAAAGCAGTAAAAGTCCCAAGAGAGACACTTATGAAAACAACAAGAAAGAAATACAGAGATGGACATTCTTCTGTTTGTACCTACACTCCTAATAACTGTACAATTATGCCCATTTTATAAGCAAATCTTCCAATTTTGTATAAAAGTGATACTATGAAAAAAGGTTTACCAGTCATTCTACCATGACTTCAGTAAACACTGGATTGTGATTGGTTAATTAAAGTCATTCAGAGGTATATAATCACGTTATACAGGTCTCTGTTTTCCGTGCGCAATCATACATGGTTTACGGTAGAATGCACTATTTTTGTCTGCCCACTAACATGGCGGACACCGAACAACCTACCGATGCATCGATAAATTACGGCGATTTTACTGTCGGAAATTACACATATGTCTTTAAAGATGGATTTAGCGATGACGGGCACGACTCACTACTTGCGTAAATCACAGCAATAGGTGTTTATACATACAAAAGTACTTCGAAAGCATGGAAACAAATATTCAGTCGAACAAGATCAAAACATCGTCTGCTTTCCGAATAAAAATTCAGCAAAAACAAATATGTTTACGTTGATTCTATGTTATGTCAGAATAGATCCAGCAATAGACTGCTACAAAAGTTCCGTGTTTAATTTATTATCAGCTTTCGTCAACGATATCGCCACTGATCTTGATCCGGTAACGGAGGATGCATTAACATCGAACGCCGAAGAAATTTTAGATTCTAATGCCTTCCGTCCACATAAATAAACAGTTGGGTTATCAATTCAAACAAAATGATATTTTGAAATTTGTACTGTTTCAAATTTAGCGGTAGTAAAACACAATTAGACCTACATAATCTGCAAACCGTTCTGTTTAGCCCAACATATTTTTTTTTCTAAATGTATAATATCGTTGAAAAAGTTATTTAGCTTAGTCATGATCCCTCTTATCCATTACACTGCTTGATCTAAAGTAGTCTATTAAAGTATAATTAATTACCTTACCGTGTTTATGCCAGAGGTACACCCTCGTGTCCTGATCCATCCTTTCGGAAATATCACCACAAATCTGGCTCTTTGTCAACAGACTCGCGAACATGCCAGCCAATCCGATTCAATTTGAATTCACTACACTTTGAAGCCACTAGGTCACAAAACACTTTCCAAAATGTAGAAAATAATATCCGTAGAATCGAATTTGAGCACAAAGTACACACATGAGTGTGTAAGAGTCACCACAGCTGTCGCACGCAGACGTAGAGGTGCGTGAAATCGTCAAGTTGACAGGGCGCAAAATTCAACAGTATCTAAATTCGGTACAACACGGACTTCTCGTTACAGCAAAAGCGCCCCTACTCTTAAATTTTGTACCAGTACCAGTAATTAGATATCAAAGACTATCTCAGTCATACAATCAGGTTAACCTTGCGCAAACTGTCAGTGGCTCTCCTGTCGCATCTTTCCAAATGTAAACAATGACTTCGAGAAAAGGTCAAGGCCATGAGGTTGCTGCCACTATTCTGGTGGGGAAAGGGTCTACGGTGGAATTTTCAAATGTGAACCAAGCTTTTGAAACTTATTTGATATATGTTTTCCAACTTATCAGTTAATGATTGGTGATTGATGCATTGAAAAAACAAAACGTGATTTGTTATTACTGAATCTGGAGTTTGTTAGTCATTGACGATTTGCCACCAAACACCCCGTTTCGGGCGATACCACTTGAGATTGGAATGCGAGGCCGCTTCACGTATTGACTCGTAACCAAAGAAAGAGCTCCACCTGAAATTGTTCATAAAATTGTCTTGGTTTATCTCCTAAGTGTAACAAAATGTCAAACACCTCGATGTGGAACTGGTTCAATGATAGCTGAAGAAATTTACATTTTGTGAAGGTAACTATTCACTATCAAAACCAACATGAACTGCCGCAGCAAAATGTTATATATGTTTTATTTGTTTTCTATTGGGCAAATCCATTAAGCAGACGCAGGTGACAGCATGTAGTTAATATGTGCACTGGACCATAACATGTCTTGTTTTAAGCTGTAGTTCTTATGGGACGGAGTTCTTATGTGAGGACACCATTATTTTGAAGCTATACATTTCAAATATGCTGAAGGGCTAGCCTAGTAAGCGTTCGCTCGTCACGCCAAAGACTCGTGTTCGATTCCCCACATGGGTACAGCGTGTCAAGCCCATTTCTGGTGTCCCCCACCGTGATATTGCTGGAATATTGCTAAAAGCAGCATAAAACCAAACTCACTCGATCACTCACTCAAATATGCAAAGGACTCCTTCACTGACTACAGCAATATGAAAGATTTAGTTGGTCCTGAACTATATTTTACCAGCATTTTTATAAAAAGAAGGAGATATTACAATTGCTGCTGTACAAGATAAAATCCTCTTATGAAGAACAATATTTTTTGTCTGCAACCGAATACATGTATCTCATACACTCTATAAAACCAGTTACATTTGTAAGCCACATTCGGCCTTCTCCGTCTCATAACCTGCACCATTTTTTCCAGACAGGTCCCTTATTGATGACAATATTAAGTACCATAACGTTACCTGCCCCGAGGGGATACGATACCAGGCAGTAACCGCTGAAAATGGCAGCCTTCGTTAATTCAAATATCTAATCGAATCCTCATTTTTTCCCCTTCAAATCTGAACTCCATTCGCACGCTGACAGAACACTTAAGTGCCCCAGATTTAAGATAGTCTCCATATTCATATCTCTCACCAAGCTTGTGTCCTGAATCAATTGATTTGTGGTTAATTGACTGAGGTTTTTACTTCATTAAGGTGTGTTATGATTGAAAAGTCAATAGATGTTAAGTGCTGTGAAAATTAGACCCCACTGATTGGGTTAATAGTTCGATTATATCATTATAACGCCATCGCCTTGGAAGAGGGGGCCTTTCAATTCCGGCTGTCAAACTCCAAGACCCCGATACATTATCCCGTTATTACAAGAAGAGATATTTTACACTCCAGGAAAGAGTTGTTGCACAAATCCGCCATGGGTATTTTATGGGATTTAAAATCCGTTTTGGCTAATTTTATATTCTCTTTACGGGGATAGATGCAATTTACAACAATAGTGTTTATGGGGAGTTTTTGAATCCGTGGTTAGGGCCTGCTCTTTCATCACCCTGTTCACTGATAGAAAGACCTCAAACAGTTCACTTACTTTGATGTTAAGTGAGCCAAAAGCAATTCATGGTATTGTTAAATCAAATTTCGCCTTAACATCGTCGCAAGTAGACAGATTTCTACCACCATTGACCTAAAGAGACTCCAGACTATTGATGTGAGAAGTTAGGTTTGAATGAGTGCCCTGTTTTCGGAATTTAAAAACGTGACATATGATATTTACCGTGTGGGGGAAGTGAGTTTGGTTTTACGCCGCTTTTAGCAATATTCCATTAATATCACTGCGGGGGCCTTCACTCATCGGGGAATCGAAACTGTCTTCTGTGACGAGCGAAAGCTTTAACCGCTAGGCTACCCCACTGCCCCTTCAGTACCGTATGGGGTGAGTGAGTGAGTTCAGTTTTACGCCGCTTTTAGCAATATTCCAGCACTATCACGGCGGTGGCCACCAGAAATGGGCTTCACACATTGTACCCATGTGGGGAATCGAACCCGGATCTTCGGCGTGACGAGCGAACGCTTTAACCAGGCTACCCCCATCGCCCCCAGTACCATATGGAACCCCACAGGGGTTATAATCTCTTTATCATATAATGTCATTACAAACTGAAGAATATGAATACTACGACTATATGAATACTGCGTATGAATACTACGACTGTGCACTACAATCGCAATACCTATCCGCAGGTAATCTGCAGCCATGTAAGCACTCACACAAAGAAACCTGTATCTCTACTGTTAGGGATGTAAAAAAGGTAGTTACGCAAAGGCTTTTTAGCGAGTTGGTATCGGATCGATTTACACAGCTTACTAAAGACGTTCCAGATAGACTCATTTGCATATTTATGGGATCGTGGTACCAAAGCCTGCTTATCGGAGTGGCTTATCGCCTGGATAACACTACGCATTAAATCTGGTTCGTTAGGAGCCAGTACCCGGCCCCTTCAGTGGCTCTCCTCCGACCATCTGAGCTGAATACTTCTACTGCTGCTGCTAATGATGAGTGAGTGAGTGAGGGAGTTAAGTTCTAACTTGGCTCTTCACGGGTTGCTGCTAATAATAATGATAACACCAACAATAATAATTATGTTCACTTAAGTGTTGACCTGGTACATTAATAAATACTTTATGGATAACAACTTCTTTATTATATTTTCATCAACTTCTAAAACGTGAATCAAACAGATCACTAAATTATAGTTATTATCAAAGTAGCCCCTTGTAGGACCAATGTTTGATCCCGGAGCTGTATATTTGTCTTCTCATTTCCCACTGGAGAATCGAACACGTTGTGTGCACAGCAAACACACCAAGAAACATAAGCATAAGTAAATAAACGTCAATGCCTGAGACTAACCAGTCTCGATTATCTCCCAGACGGATTCCGTCTGTGTAAACTGCACTATAGAGGTGAGAAGAATATCAATAGATCCCTGAAAATAAGTGATGACACCAGGTGTTAGCTGAAAGGGTAGGAACGTCCATCAGTAGCACAACACAGTTTGTATAAAATGTCTTCGTTCGTATTCGTATTCCTGTCACATGTGGTATGTAAACAATCGTATAATGACCAGACAATCCAGTGATAGCGAGTCTGAACCAATTGTACAGTTAACTCACGGGTTTATGAAAATGTTTCCTTTATTGCCACCAAAGTAAATGGTCTAAAAGATGATAAAAAGACCATATATATCCATATATATATATATATATATCAATATAACCAATGATAGTTTGGATATTGTAAAAAAATAATAGAGGATTTCATTAAGCGTTTTCTAAATATATGAGTAGTTATAAGTGTTGGAAACAAGCCCATTTTCCAAGGACATATCGATAACGGCTGTGTATGTGAGTAACTGGGGCCATGGACTTGCATATGCAAAATAGGTTTTCAGGTGAAGTTGAAAACATGTCCCTTTTTATCACCGCAGCCCTTCATTTACCCCAAATAGTGACAGGAAGTACAAAACATAAAGATTTAGAAAGAATAACTATTATTATCAAATATTTGAACAAGTCGGGTGATCTTTTCCCGTTACTTCTTAGAAGGCCCTTCCTATCTCGCCCTATTCAATAACTTGAAACACGTTCTAAAAATCATATTGAGTAGTTGGGTAGCCTCGTGTGTGACAGCGAAGTTCTGGGTTCGATTCCCCATTAGTACTTTCGTTTGTTTGTTGTCTGAGGTCATACTCAGCAGTTTTCCAACTATTTGGCAGCGGTGTGTAAATAATTGAGTCTGGACCAAACAATCCAGTGATGCAGCACTGGCATCGATCTACGCAACTGGGATACGATGGCATGCATCAACCATAACGAGCCTGACCACCCGATCCCGTCCGTCGCCTTTTACGACAAGGGTGGATTGCTGAAGATCAAGTCCAACCCGGATCTTTGCGGGTATTGAGAACTGTATGTGAAGCTCTCTTGTCTTCTGTCTCGATATTGTTGGAGATGTCACTCACTCTCCCGCCTACCCATCCACCAACTGACTCACTCACTCACCATCTACGCTGTGTCTGTTTACGAAGAACATATCCGATGTCATTTTATGTGGATCAAAAAAATAATTACCAAATGCATACAATTTGCATATTTTTGGAGCTAAAATTCATCCGATCACTTACGATCAGGAATATTTTCATTTTCTTAACTTGCGAAACAAAAAAACATGAATCCTCGTCTAGACCTCCCCATATTAATTACCCCAAGTGACAGGTATGACACGAGAGCAATCGACAAGCTGTAATAAATAACATGAATGTATCTCAATGAAGGAGCAGTGAAATCGACAAGGAGAGCTCCGGGACTTGTTTGTTGGTGATCTTTAACAACAGACCCTCTGTTGCAGAAGCTCAACATCCCCCCAAAGCTAATTTGTGGCCAAGTCCAGACAAACGATAAGAGAGGGTGTCATCAAATATCAATATAATTGAGGATTTCAAATATTTGGCTAATTTTCCTATCAAACACCGTATCCCCTTCCCTTGACGGTAAACTCAATACATCTATCGATTAACTTAGCAGTATAGCCTAAAGCTACCAGTAGTTAATCACACTCATTTCGCCAATTTTTCATCACCATATCAATTTCACCATATGCCATAGAGTCTTGCACAGTCGGGAGGGGTTATTGTCAAGTGGTTCAGGGTTGGGGATTCCTGGCATCGTCAGTCGGGGTGCTGTATAGTCGAGGATGAGCGATTACTGTACAGGGAGATAGAAGGTCGACTAGAACCCAACACCTGGGATTATGGAGCTATAGGGGTGACAACCTTGGGGTTAGTTTTTATACACTTGGGGAAATTTCGGGGGCCTTGAAATATTCCCCTTTTAGGATTAGGTTTAAACAGAACATTAGACTGTGATGTGCATATAGAATGTTTTACCATGTGTGTTCATAAGCTTAGGACCAAATATGTCATTGGTTTGTCACTTTTGACACACAAAAAGACGAAAAGTACATTTCAACATTAAAATATTGCTATCTGGGATAAATTTTACCCACCTTGTCCCTTGATGCCAGAGAGACTTATATGTCTTTCCTCTTCAACCCTCACTTTGGAGTCCAATAAAATTCAATATGTATTGCACATACAAATACATAGACTAACGCTTAGTCTCTGAATATATATAATTTTCATAGTAACAAACAAGCCCATTTATATTGAAAAGGAGCCCCAGGGAGACCAGAGATTTTTGAACCTGAGGAAATCTAGACTTGCTTTATTTAGGGCTTTAGCACTGCAGAGAGGGCTTGGTAGTAGGGAAAATAATGTGGTTCAGGGACTGTGAGACAGACTACAGAGAGGGCTTGACAGTAGGGAAAATAATGTGGTTCAGGGACTGAGACAGACTACAGAGAGGGCTTGGCAGTAGGGAAAATAATGTTGTTCAGGGACTGTGAGACAGACTACAGAGAGGGCTTGGCAGTAGGGAAAATAATGTGGTTCAGGGACTGTGAGACAGACTACAGAGAGGGTTTGGCGGTAGGGAAAATAATGTGGTTCAGGGACTGTGAGACAGACTACAGAGAGGGCTCGGCAGTAGGGAAAATAATGTGGTTCAGGGACTGTGAGACTGACTACAGAGAGGGCTTGGCAGTAGGGAAAATAATGTGGTTCAGGGACTGTGAGACAGACTACAGAGAGGGCTTGGCAGTAGGGAAAATAATGTGGTTCAGGGACTGTGAGACAGAGTACAGAGAGGGTTTGGCAGTAGGGAAAATAATGTTGTTCAGGGACTGTGAGACAGACTACAGAGAGGGCTTGGCAGTAGGGAAAATAATGTGGTTCAGGCACTGTGAGACAGACTACAGAGAGGGTTTGGTAGTAGGGAACATAATGTGGTTCAGGGACTGTGAGACAGACTACAGAGAGGGGGCTTGGCAGTAGGGAAAATAATGTGGTTCAGGGACTGTGAGACAGACTACAGAGAGGGTTTGGCAGTAGGGAAAATAATGTGGTTCAGGGACTGTGAGACAGACTACAGAGAGGGCTCGGCAGTAGGGAAAATAATGTGGTTCAGGGACTGTGAGACTGACTACAGAGGGCTTGGCAGTAGGGAAAATAATGTGGTTCAGGGACTGTGAGACAGACTACAGAGAGGGCTTGGCAGTAGGGAAAATAATGTGGTTCAGGCACTGTGAGACAGACTACAGAGAGGGTTTGGCAGTAGGGAAAATAATGTTGTTCAGGGACTGTGAGACAGACTACAGAGAGGGCTTGGCAGTAGGGAAAATAATGTGGTTCAGGGACTGTGAGACAGACTACAGAGAGGGTTTGGCAGTAGGGAACATAATGTGGTTCAGGGACTGTGAGACAGACTACAGAGAGGGCTTGGCAGTAGGGAAAATAATGTGGTTCAGGGACTGTGAGACTGACTACAGAGAGGGCTTGGCAGGAGGGAAAATAATGTGGTTCAGGGACTGTGAGACAGACTACAGAGAGGGTTTGGCAGTAGGGAAAATAATGTGGTTCAGGGACTGTGAGACAGACTACAGAGGGCTTGGCAGTAGGGAAAATAATGTGGTTCAGGGACTGTGAGACAGACTACAGAGAGGGCTTGGCAGTAGGGAAAATAATGTGGTTCAGGGACTGTGAGACAGACTACAGAGAGGGCTTGGCAGTAGGGAAAATAATGTGGTTCAGGGACTGTGAGACAGACTACAGAGAGGGCTTGGCAGTAGGGAAAATAATGTGGTTCAGGGACTGTGAGACAGACTACAGAGAGGGCTTGGCAGTAGGGAAAATAATGTGGTTCAGGGACTGTGAGACAGACTACAGAGAGGAGGGGCTTGGCAGTAGGGAAAATAATGTGGTTCAGGGACTGTGAGACAGACTACAGAGAGGGCTTGGCAGTAGGGAAAATAATGTGGTTCAGGGACTGTGAGACTGACTACAGAGAGGGTTTGGCAGTAGGGAACATAATGTGGTTCAGGGACTGTGAGACAGACTACAGAGAGGGCTTGGCAGTAGGGAAAATAATGTGGTTCAGGGACTGTGAGACAGACTAACAAATACACTTCACAGTTTCAAATTCTGGCGGGAAAATCTTGATACCATCCACTATTATCTTAGACAAAGCTAAAGTGATGAAACTAACGTTTCAAATTGGCTACATTGTAAATGTTGCCATCTTTTGACACATTACGAAATATATTTAGAATATCCAATTAGCTATTAAGTGCTTTCTCATGTGATACGATGTCATCATTTCTTATAAATTGTTATACAACCAAAACGTACACGGTCACAGTGGGGATCTATGTATTGGAATAGTATGGTTCACCGTGAACAGAACATCACGAAAATATAGTGTCCGTATTTCACAGCAATTTCTCTCTAAGTGACCGGAGTTATAATGGCCTAGTGTTAGGACCTGTTCGATTATTGCGAAACTGGTTTTGGTTTCTGGAACTGGTTTCTCCCGTTATAAACGAGTGTCTAGTTTCGGATACATGGTTTCAAAGTGAAACCAGTTTATAGTTTATAAACGAGTGGATGGTTTCACCATCTGGTTTCAAAATGGATACCCCAAAAATGCCTCAGCTACTATATATGTGGAACGAATTGGATGACAGCATTGCCGAAGGTAATATTTTTTGTCATGTTATCAGAGAATTAACAAATAATAAAGAGATGAGATGCTTTTGGAGGTAAATATTTGCTTATATGTAATTATACTGTCACAAGTAATTGTATGTATACAAGTTACATATAATAGTCATGTTCAATAGACTGGGGTTTTAAATAATGTTTTCCTTGTTCTCAGAACAATGACTGTTTGCTTACCTGTCTTTTCCTTTCGTTTCCGCCATGTTTGTTGTGAGAGAACGCGAAACCTGCCTCGGAGATGGTTTAGAAGTTTCAGAACCCAGTTTTAGGTTTCGACATAATCGAGTGCATGGTTTTCAAAAAACCAAAACCGGTTTAGCATAATCGAATAGGCCCTTAAACATAGCGGAGTTATGGCCCCTTATGTTCACGCCGGTGTGACTTATCAGTGTCTATATTTCAAACCGCCTACTATTTGCACTTGAGTTTACACCATCGGATAGGAAATCTATTCTACGTTTCTGTATATTTATTCAGATCTTACTAAAATGTACGCCAGAATACTCTGCATACAAGGGGTTAAACACGTCATCCAGCGTATGGCTCTGCCGTAACCTTTTACCCGTGTTCGTCTGATAGAAGGTCGGCCCGCAAGGTCAGTTCATTGTATTCTTGTGTCTTAGTTTCGTTGCGAGTAGTGTTACATAACGGTAAGGACAATTATTGTGAGTTGTTATATCATACCAGTGTGGCGTTTTCGTTTCAAAGTTATAATATATCCGTGGTAGGGGAGACCGGGGTCAATTGTAACACTTTTTACTTAACTTCTTGTAATTTGATACTAGTCGACCGCTCACAAAGTTAATCGGTACTATCTAGTACATTGGCATCTTGGCTTTAAACCTCAGTGTCATTTAAAATTCACTATCATGTCGTTACAAAGTTACATTTTACATGTTTTTGGTTTAAAATTATTGTTTTTTATGCCCTAAATATGATAGAAAGACTAACATCAAAAACTTTCACCCGAGGGCTGATACTATCAACATAAGACTGAAAATGTCCTACTATGATGAAACTAGTAGAGAACTAACATAAAACCGACATCATAATTTGCTTCATCATCATAACACAAGGGAAAATTAAATGGGGGCAATTGTAACACAGTGTAGTAGCTATGTTTCATGCCACTTCACATGTTAACAACCTTGGGCTTCTCAAATATTTCTACTTCAAAATATGTCGTAATACCTCAGTAATACGCTTGAACAGTTAATTTCATTCCAAGCAACATTTACTGCATCAAGAACGTTTTATTACGTTTTGTGAAAAAAATACTTTCCTATGTGAAAAACGATTTTTCGTCAACTGTATCTCGCCATGAGCGAGCAGCTGAAAAACGCCTGTATGTGTACCGCAGGAGAGCAAAGGGAAATAACTCTACTCACCTACACTATGCTTGAGCGAAAACTGTTAGAGTAACCGCCCTTGTTACAATTGCCCCGTGTTACAATTGACCCCGGTCTCCCCTACTGTACATCGTACGGCTTATTCCGATGACATTGAAACGTCTCCGTCGGAAGATGACCATGTCCCTTGGAAGGATTTCAGGGTAACTTTAGCCCACCTTGTAAATCAAGGCTTGTGAAAACTGTATTATGGATGGGTTGATCACTCAGTAAGTCACTCAGCGTCCACCAGGAATCCACCACAAGTTCTTCTGTTGACAACACTAACCTTCAAATAATTAACGTCGTAGAATGTTTTCTCTCTAGTACTCTACGCTTTACTCTGAAATATTAAAAACAAATCCATGAATCGATGTTAGCATTGTAAGAGTAAATATTTCTGTTCTCTGGCTGGCTGGCATAACGTACAACCAAAGCGTTTTTTCTGCTGTATTGCCTGTGAGTCGTGTCACTTTTCAACCACGCAGATTTCGTGCACCGCGTGCGCTACAGTCGTGCCTACATACTCACAGTGTACAACACAAAGCTCGATCCTATAGCTCGACTCGACTGGTGCTGGTACAGGTGCACCAGCCAGATCTTGACAGGTGCGACTTCAATTAACGTTTAAGACAGATCATATTTTGATTACAGCTTCAAAGCA